AGATATCACTACAGATTCCACCTAGTCGCTGTCAAAATGACTATCAAGAAAATAAATGACAACAAACATCAGAGAGGAGGTGGGAAAAGGTACCTTATTCACTACTGGTAGAAATGTAAACTGGTGTGGCTTCTATGGAAATTGTTATGCCAGTTCCTAAAGAGAAAACGTAACTACCTATGACCAACCTATGCTACTCTTGGGTACATGCCTGGAGAAATCTAAGTGAACACACTGAAATACTAGTACCTCCATGTTTACAGCTGAACTATGCTCACTAGCCAGGGAATGGAACCAGTCTTGATAAGTGGATAAAAAATGTTTATAAAACACACAATGAAATTCAATACAGCCATAAAGAGAAATAAAAATTTCCTGTCTCTAAGTGCTCAGTCAAGTAAGTAGTGAGACCACTGCCATCTCTCTCAGGGAGACGGTGCTCCTGTATGGGTACACTTCCCTGTTTTGCTGCTGACATGTATTGTTGACATGTGGTCACACAGAACTGTGTGACATTACTGTTCATCCTCTCACTATGTGGAGGTGTTTCAGCAAGAATACATAGAAAAGTGATTATTTCTGTTATTAGGTAAACAGCATAGTGTAAACTCCTGGCCCTGCCCCGCTTGGGGAGGATAATGAGAAATCCCACAGACAGACCTCACTGCTTCCATTTCAGCAGGGGTCCCTTATGTCACAAAAGGATCAGAATAGTGGCAGCAATGGAAATGCAGTGGGCAAGAACTCTGCCTTGACAAGGCTGGAAGGGGCTGAGACATTATCTGAGACATGGTGCAGTTCCTCTTTATGACGTATTTACTTCATCCAGAGCAAGAAAAGAGTAAGTACTTCAGGCCTCAGGTGAAAAGGAAGAGTTTACCATATTCTAGTCATAACACAGTGAGGGTTCTTATCATTCCTTTGTGACAGGAGACACAGGCTCGCTATTGTACTGTCAACATTTAGATAGTTTGTTTTTAACCAACCCTATTTTCTTTTCCCTTGGGGAGAAAAAAAAAAAACCTTTTGGTGTTAGATTTTGGTTAGCTGGATTTAGGGGTTGGAGAGACCACTCACCAGGAAAAGTGCCTGCCATACAAGCACAGAACCTGAGTTCAGATCCCTGGCACTTAAAAGGCTAGATGGCAGCACAGGTTCTATGACCCCAGCCCCGAAAAAAGGGAAGTAGAGGAGAGGGCAGTGACAGATGGATTCTCTGAGCTCTCTGACAGCCTGTGTAATATCAGTGAGCTCTGGGTTCAGTGAGAGGACCTGTCCATAGATAAGGTGGAGAGTGAGAGTGAAAAACACCAAAAGTCAGCTTCTGGCCTTCAAATGTAAACACATTGTTGTGCACACACACCCTGTCACACCTAACACACAGATACACACACACACACACACACACACACACACACACACACACCACATATATACAACTCACACACAAGCATACATACATATCACACACACACCACAAATACACCATCCACAGAGCATACATTCACAAACTCATACCACACACTCATGTAATATACCACACACAAACAAGCATACACTACATACACACACATACACACAGAGACACATACATACATACATACATACATACATACACACATACACACACCACACACACACAAATATACCCACACTTACACATATACACACACACATAAATACATGCACCACAAACATAACACACATTCACACACAGACTATACATACATACACACACTTATATACATACCACACATACACACACCACATACATACCATACAAACACACATATATTTATACACATAAATTTCACACATATATACATACCACACACACAGACACAGACACAGACACAGACACAGACACAGACACACACACACACACACACACACACACTCTTTCTCTCTTTCTCTCACTCTCTCCTCAGCTGGAGGCAGTTATGACAGTTCTGGATGAGAGAGAGGGGTACAGAGTAGCATCCCCTCTCACAAAAAGCGTTTTTATCAGGCTCCAGATCTGCCTGGGACAACTGACAGGGCTGTACTCTGAAGAGCACGCAGCCTCCATATGACTGGCAAGAAAGTTCAAGTGAAGCAGCAACTCCTGAACAGCTGTATCTCCTGAGTGATGACTCACTTCAGATTTAATCACTGAAAAAAAAAACAACAACAACAAACCCAGCATTATTGAATGCACACATAAGAAAAGGATTAATTAATAACTAACTATTATCCGACATAAATCTAGCTTTCAGCTTTTTTATTGATAAAATAATTACAGTCTAAATTATCTTTCAAAAAATCAATCCTATTTATTGTATTCATTTTCTTCCAATGATAAACACAGCATAAACCATTTGGAAGACAGAAATGTGTAACAATGAGCATGCCAACTGTTTACTTTCTCATTCCTCCAGGTCCTCCCCCACTGCCTTCCCCTCAATTTTTTTTTTTTGTGTTGGCAAACTTTCAGAATAAAGGATGCCAAGCCAGCGATCACTATTACATAACTGAACCAGTGTATGTAATAGCAGCCACAAAAATAACCCAGACAGGAGCCATTACATAATTAACACAATTGCACTTTACTTTGATAAAAGGCAGGGATTTTTAAGGGGCATTAGAAACATGTCCTTGCAGTTGTGGACTACTTGTGAAGTCACCCATGGGTGTAGATGTCAGATGGCTCATTTGCTTCTTGATCCTTGGCCAAATTCATTTGGATAAGTGAGTGGACTGACAAGAACATGAATAGTAAATGACTGTGGAGCATGAGCCACTGGAAACACATGGAAGGACACTAAGTAGAGGAAGATATGGGATGATGGGGAGTGAAGGATTAGAGAAGAGGTGGAGTACCAAAATAATGCAGGATGGTAACAAGGATAGTATGGTGCTTTGAAAGAAAATGGCCTCCAAAGGGAGTGGCACTATTAGGGGTAGGTGTGGCTTTGTTGAAGTAAGTGTGTATCACTGTGGGGATGGGCATTGAGGACTCCTATGCTCAAGCTACACTCATGGCAGACAGTTCACTTCCGGTTGCCTTCGGAACAAGATGTAGAACTCTTAGATCCTTCTTTAGCACCATGTCTGCCTGCATGCCATCATGTCCTGCCATGATGATAATGGACTGAATCTCTTGAGACTGTAAGCCACCCCAATGCAATGTTTTCCTTTATAAGAATTGCTGGGATCATGGTGTCTCTTCACAGCAATAGAAACCCTAACTAAGACATATAGAGTGACCAGATGATGTGCAGGAAAATCTGGGACATTTTTTAAAGACAGGATTTCTCTGTGTAGCCCTGGCTGTCCTGGAACTCTCTACAGACCAGGCTGACCTCAAATGCAGAGATTCACCTGCCTCTGCCTTCCAAGTGCTGGTATTAAAGACATGCACCACCACATTCCAGCAATCCAGGACATTTTTAAGACCAGTGCTCTTAAATCTTGCATTGGCTCCAGATGTAGCTCAGTGGTACATCACTTTCTAGCATGCATGGAGCCCTGGAGCTTATCCAAGCATAGAACAAAAGCAAAACAACTCTCAGAACATCTCAGTGGCTAAAGTAGTAAAGTAGTAGTAAAGTGAATCACTTTACATACAGAGATCTCTTTAAATATCGGGAAAATCTGGAAGTCTGGTCACTTTGGAGAAACTTTTCAAACACACTGACAGCTCTGGTGGCTGTGCCTGCTTACTGCCTTTCCCTGTGACAGGTACTTTGTTGGCATTATCAACCTGCATTTCTGACCCCCCAGCACTCGCTTCTACTTGCTTTCGTCAGCAAAGGGAGAAGCCACTGGGGCTGTTTCTCCTTACTGAGGGATCTTTAAAGAGACCAAGGGAAAAAGGTGATTGCTACTACTCCTGAACCCACCTGATCAAGAAGAGAACCATCTCTGAAAGTTGTCCTCCAACCTCCACACACATGTGTGCACTTGTGCATACAGATAAATAAACACTATTTTAAAAACTTAAAGTGGCTGCTCCTGCAGGAGTGAGTGTGCTGCTGAGGTCATGGTGAGGGTAAAGACGCATCAGAAGGAGAGATCCAGGGTTCATGCTTGGAACCACTGGGAAAGCCCCATGCTGATGGTGCTTTAAATTTAAGGCAGAAGCTACAGGCAAGCTAGTCTTGGCCTCTCTATTGCAATACATTCTATGTCATCCCCGAGGTCTGCAAATGTATTTTCAACTAATGAATGTGTCAATCTGCGTTTCTAAGTCGGTTTGCTATCTTTATTGAACAAATTTGGGAAAACACATGATCAAACCTTAGTTTGAAAACCACTGAAGTATCTGGAAAGGAGCCGGTTGGGTTCACCCATTGTGTAATCATGCATGAAGCACCTACTGTGTGTAGGCACATTCCTAGGTATGTATGTAATTAATCTAGAGAGCAAGCAAACTTCTGAGACTCTCAGTCTTCCATTTCACTACGAGTGTCAGCTATCCCACTAGACATTTTGACAGGTGGGGGATGCAGGACCTTAGGGTTGGCACCATCCTGGCCTCTACCTATAAATCCTGGCATCCTTGGGGTCCTTGAGGATTATGGCTAAAAAAAGAAGGTAGGTAGAAGCCCTCATGGTAGGAGGGCTTCTGTTTCAAATGGAAATATCTGAAGGGTTGTAGTTGGTTGGCTGAGATTTCCACTATCGTTTCCACTAGAGGGCTGAGTGGTTGGGCTTCTCCTGCAAAGGAAAGGAAAGAGCATTATGGGTGGGGTCTTTGGTACTTGAGAAGCAGAGGGGAGCCTGGAAATGCCGAACTTGTCTCTGTGAGACTCCAGCTTCCTTCAGCCCATGCCAGGCAGGTTTGCCCAGCTGTTCTCTATTAGAGTCTGGGTAGGATGGACTATCCCAGCAGGCAGATCTCCTCTGTCCTTGGAAAGGCTGAAAAGAAGGTCTTATCCTATGCATTTTGTCTCCTCCTACATCTCCACTTCCCCTTCTAAAGATGCCCACATCAGCAGCACATCTGTTTCTATCCTTAGATCTGGGAAGCCACACTCTGCAGATCCAGAGCTTGAAGTGTGTTAACCACCAGTGAAGCCCGGCACTCTGGAGCCAGAGCCAGAGAACACAAAAGCCACCATAAGATTCTGTGACATCTCTGCTGTTGGAACCAGATGTGGCAGCAGCTTTCCAGCCAGCACACCTGCTGGCTGCTGTGGATCCTGTGTCTCTCAATGTGTCAGCAGACACGACATACATTTTATACCCCTGGCTCTGCCTCCTGCACAAATGGCTGCACCAGATCCGTTCTTTATTTGGCAGTCCCTTTTCTGTCTGATTTGAGGACAGTACCAGTTCTGTGGTCTCTCACATAGTCATCCTTTCGGTCCTTGGCACTATTCAGCCTTCCCCTCTAAAAGATATCATTTTTATTTTCTGATCTTTTTCTTTTTTAATTTTTCCTTTTATAGAATTTTTTTCCTCACAAAATACATCTTGATTTTGGTTTCTTCTTCTACTCCTCCTACCTCCTCCCCACCTCCCATCCAGATCCACCCCTTTCTGTCTCACATTAGAAAACAAGCAGGCTTCTATGGGAGAATAATAAAATGTAATATAGTGAGACAAAATATAACAAGATAAAACAAAAGCTAATACATCAGAATGGGACGAAGCATACAAAGGAAAAGAGCCCGAGAAGTCACAAGAAACAGAGATCCAGATGTTCACATACTCAGACATCCCATAAAAATACCAAACTGGAAATCATAGTATGTATTAAACGACCTACAGGGTAAAAAGAGAGAAGAAAAAATATAATAAGAAAATTTTGAAAAAGAGGAAGGAAGAGGAGGAGGAAGAATCTTGACATGACACAAGACAAGAAACCTCCAAAGATACCTTTCAGTTCATTTTCTGTTGGTCATCTACCACCTCAGAGTAGTTTGTTTTTCAGTTGAGACCCTCTTAAAGGAAACTAATTTTTCATTTGCAAGCAATTATTGATTACATCAATTGCTCTGGGTTAAGGATGGGGGCATGTGCCCACTTCTTCTTTCAGCTCTAGGACTCCAGCTGGTGCAGAACCATGTAGGTCCTGGGCATGTTGCCTCAGTCTCTGCATTCATATGTCTGTCAATCATTAACTTAGAGATCTTTGCTTTCTTGGTGTTCTTCATCCCTTCTGGCTCTTACACTCTTTCTAACTCCTTTCCACGGGGAACCCTGAGCCTTTAGGGGCAGGTGAATTTGATGAAGACGTCCCATTCAGGGCTGAGTGGTCTTAGGTCTCTCACTCTGCATGATGTCTGGCTGTGGGTCCCTGTGTTTGTTTCCATCTGCTGAAGGATGAAGCTTCTCTAGTGATAGCTGAGAGAGGCACTGATCTATGAGTATAATAGGAACCATTTTACTGCTCCTTTTTTTTCTTTAGAACAGTAGAATTTGGTTTTACCCTAAATCCCTGGGCTAGCTTGTCTCAGGTTCTTGATCACCTAAGCAGGGTTAGGTATAGGTTTCATCTCATGGAGTAGGCTTTCAGTCAAATCAGGTGTTGGTTGGTTACTCCCACAAACTTCATGCCATTGTCCTAGCATATCTTGCAGGCAGGGCATAGTTGCAGATTGAAGGGTGTGTGTTTGGGTTGGTGTTTATGTTTCTCTTTTGGTAGCATACAGAGTATCTTCCTGTACCAAAGATGCTAGTATGTAGGGATGAAGGCTCTATGTAGGCACCAGCTCAACTTCTACATGTTCAGTGAGTTGTTTGTGGGGAACATCCTATAGTCTAGGCAACCACCTGGACATTTTCTGGTTATTTCAACATTCCCCATATGCTTTAACTGACCATTGGTGGTTCAGAGTATTAAATTTTTAAAGAAAAAAAGGAGGCGCAAAATGAGACATATTAACCATTTTATTATAGGCCCGGCAGAGTAGGGAGACTAAGAGAGAAGAGGAACAGGGGTAATGGCTGACCTCCATGGCCGGTTGACATAGAGAGGCAGAGAAAGCATGTAGGTGGGAGAAGAGAAGAGCAGAGAAAGAGTGAGCAGAGAGAGTGAAGCAAGGAAGTTGGAACTTTTAAAGGGAAGACTGCGCATGCACACTGAGGTTCCACGCATGCCCAGAGTCCTCACGCAGGCCGTAATGCGTGGCGGGTGACATGGTGATGACGCAGCACGTTTTCCTGTGCATGCCCTGACTGTTGTCAGGGGGCGGGGTCTGTCTCTTAAAGAGGTAGAGCCGATCAGCATTAAAGCCTGAACCTTTCACAGAGTGTTGGCAGTGGAATGACTTCACTGAAAAATGAAGGAAATTAAAGGCGAAGGCATGTTCACTCACATGTCACAGTTTACCTGTCATTATGTAGAGAAGCCTGAGAAATTCAGGAAATACCATGGATGCTGGAGAACAAGTAGGACAAAGTTACAAGACCCTATCTCATGTTTACATGTCAGCAATGAGATAGGTAGAATTTCAAGTGTATATAATAGTAAATTTCAACAATCAGCACAACTTGAACAGAGAAAAACGTGAGGCTTTTTCAAAGAAATAAAGGAAAAATCTAAGAAGTGTAAAGAGATGACATGTTCATGAATTGAAAAAGTTAATTGACAGCATTATGTAAATCAATCTACAGATTCAATGAAGACTGTTTTGCCGCTCAGACTCTCCTACTGTTCCTCTATTCCCAGTGCTAACCACTCATAGGTGTGACTAGAGGCTCGCCTCTGGGTGATTCCAGATCCTTTCAAGCTGGTGATTCACACAGGACACCTAAATGGTGGTTTGCACTTACAATAGTCTCTCTACTATATGGCTCACACTTGTAACTCAAACATTTTTCTTCTCAGTTTACTCCTTCTTGTTCCACTTTCCACTCATTCCTTATTTCACTACTTAAACATTGAAACCCTTAGCTATTAAAAAATAAATAAAAACAGCCAGGTGGTGGTGACTCATGCCTTTAATCCCAGCACTCAGGAGGCAGAGGCAGGCAGATATCTGTGAGTTGAAGGCCACCCTGGTCTACAGAGAGTTCCAGGGCAGCCAAGGCTGTTACACAGAGAAACCCTGTCTCCAAAAATGAAAAATGAAAAACAAAAACAAACAAAAAACCCAACACACACACACACACACACACACACACACACACACACACACACACACTCACACAATTACATTTTCTTTACCAGTACTTGAGAACCACTATATTTGAGCCTTATTGAAGACATAAGTACAACGTGTAAGTATTGATTACTGTAAGACAGCAATGGAAATTCTACATGTCATTATACCTAACACTATAGTGACTTCTATCCTTAAAGATCAATAGCAAACATAAAACCAACAGATGAACTCAAGTAAAATAAAACAGAGTGGGAAAAGTGGGGGAAGGACAAAAATGGAGGACACATCATCCCAACAGATGCCCAAATAAACACAGAAAGTATGAGACCACAACCCATCACTTACCTTTCCACTAACTCATAATTCTCAACACAAGAAACCAAAGACAATGAGATAGTTGAAATGCAAGAGAAATTATTTCAACTCTAACTAACTCTTAAAAAGGATCAATGATTCCTCAAAAAAGCAGATAAATTGGGAATGGAGAGCTGGTTCAACAAATGGTAGTATGTTCTATTCTAACAGAGAACCAGAGCTTGGTCCCCAGAATCATCCACACTGAGAGGCTAACAACTGCCTGTAAATCTGGTTTCAGGGGATCTAACACCATCTTCTGGCCTCCACTGTGACCCAAGTGCTCGAGTGTGCACGCATGCACACACACACACACACACACACACACACACACACACACACAAATACAAACACAGAAGTTTGGGAGAGAAAACAAAAAAGGAAAGCAGATGAATTAAGTAAGCAATCAACTCAGTACTACACCATACTACAATGGAAGAAACCGTCAGTAACTTGGAAAGGAAATCCAAAAACATGGAGGAGAATTTCCAAATGGATACTGAGATTCTGAAAAGAAACAAAAGTTCTGGAAATGGAAAAAAAATCAATGTACACACACAGACACATTTACAAATTCTGTGAAAAGCATCATCAACAGACAAGATGAATCAGAAAAATAAATTTCAGGGGTGAAGGCACAGTCGAGACAGCAGTACATTCAGGCATAAATTTAGAAAATTGATGAACATGAGCAAAAATTTCAAGAATTCTGAATACATTCTAGAGACCAAACAGAACCATCCATAGGTTAGAATAAAGAGATGAGAAGGAATCCACTAGGTCTTACACAGCAAATTAGTAAATCCCTAATATTAGCAGCAGATGAATAAAAGAACTATCAATAATAAAACCAACTAGAACAATAGACAAGAAAACCAGAGGATAGCAAACCCCTCTCAATAATAACCTTAAATGTAAATGGACTCTGCTCACCTATAGAAGAGATACGGGCTAACTGGATTAAGAGAGAGAGAGAGAGAGAGAGAGAGAGAGAGAGAGAGAGAGAGAGAGAGAGAGAGAGAGAGATATCCAGCTATTTATTGTTTTCAAGGAAAACAAAAACAAAGAACACCTCACTAGTAAGCTATCCCAAAACAGAGTCAAAGGGTGTAAATAAACCTACCAAACAAAGACAAGGAGTTGGTATTCTCCAGACAGTATCCACATTGCTGATAGAACAGACTTCAAACCAATGCAACCAGAAAAGACAATAGCCACTGCATAGTAGTAAAGGGGAAGCTCATTTAGAGGAATAACAACTACAGACAAAAATGTACTTAATGTTAGGGGCCCTCAGACAAAAATGTACTTAATGTTAGGGGCCCCCATATCATAAAACAAATAATAAAAGGGGAAAATGTCAGACAGGTCTCAATACAATCACAGTGGTTGACTACAATACTCCACTCTCATCTTTAGATATTTCATTCAAGTCAAAAAATCATGACAAAAAACAAGATCTAAATTACACCATAAATAGTTGGTTTTAACAGATACTTCCAGAATGGTCCAGCCAATAGACAGGGTGCACATTCTTTTCAGTAACTCATGGAGCTTTCTCAAAAACAGATCACATTATAGGCCACAAAGTATTTCCTTACATCTTATAAGACTGCAGTGGAGTAAGACTAGAAATCACCGGCAAGAGAAACCATAGAATTTGCACAAGTACTTGGAGGTTGAACAAATTCATTTTTAAGTGAATGATGAGCCATTGAAGAAATGGCTAAATTGAAGAAAATGTAAAATTCCTAGAAACAAATGAAAATGATAATACAACCTTAAACAAAACCTCTGGCAGTTCCAACTATAAAGTTTAAAGCTAAAAGTATTTACATTAAAAAACTAGAGAGGGGCCAATGGGATGGCACAGCAGGTAAAAGCACATGCCATCCAAGCCTGATGACCTGGGCTTGATCTGAAGATCCCATGGTTGGAAGAAAGAACCTATTTCTGAAGGTTGTCCTGTGTCCTCACATACACATGTGCCCCATACAGATACCCCCACTAATAGATAAATAATCATAAAGATTAAGGCACCCCTGGTCTATGAAGCAAATTCTAGGCTAACCAAGGTTACAAGGTGAGACTCTGTCTCATAAAACAAAAACAAACAAAACTAAGAGAGACCTCTAACTGAAACCAGGTAAGAACAGAACAAAAAAAGAAAATATAGGTTAGTTTCGCTGATGAACACAGGAACTGAAAGATTTTAGTTTGCTGAGAGAAAAAGTTTTAAAAGATTTTAGTTCACAGAGAAAAAAGTTTCCCACGGGCCTTGGCCCATTACAAGGAAGTTGGCCCCCAACCCCGGGCACATCCTATGGTTTAGACGGGGCAATCACCAAGACAACCCTCTTTGGGTCACACCTGACTGGCCAACAGACAATCAAGGACTTTCCAGGGTACGTTCTGTGGTTTTTCCTTTGTAGAGAAGCAGGTCACACCTGGGTGACCACTCTAACATGAGATCATACTTTGTAATCAATCATTTTGTGCCCCTTGCCTGTATGCTGATCTGTGGATTTTTTCCTATATAAGGAGCCTGTAACCTTTGCTGGGGTGTGCAGCTTCCCCGATATTGCTGACACCCAAATTCGCATTCGTTCAATAAACCCTCTTGCTTTTGCAGCTCTCGGTCTGGTTTCTGAGTCTCGGGGGCTCCTCGGGATCCTGAGGCCCTTAGGGGTCTGGGGGGTCTTTCAGAACAAAAATTCTGTATAAAGTTCTTGTGAACTAAATTATGAACACATTAAGAAGATCAAATATCAAGACTAATATGGTTTTAGCCTAAGGGTGCAAGATTGGTTCAACATACAAATCAATAAATAAGCCGGGCGTTGGTGGCGCACACCTTTAATCCCAGAACTTGGGAGGCAGAGGCAGGTGGATCTCTGTGAGTTTGAGGCCAGCTTGGTCTCCAGAGCAAGTTCCAGGATAGCCTCCAAAGCCACAGAGAAACCCTGTCTCAAAAAACCAAAATAAATAAATAAATAAATAAATAAATAACCAACCCTTATAAGTAGACGTAATAATGGAAATGACATGATCATCTTAGCAGACATATAAAGGGCAGTGGCAAAGCTCAACACATTTTCACAATAAAAGTCCCAAAAAAACTATGAACATAAGAAACATATCTCAACATAATCAAGGCTATATATGGAAAATCTATATAGAACACTGCAATAAATGGGGAGAGTTGAGATCATTTTCTCTAAAATCTGGAATGAGACAGGGATGCCCAATTTCTTCAACATTGTTCAATAGGAAGGCCAAATCTTTACCCAGAACAATTAGAAAAAAGAAATAAATAAAAGATATGCAAATAAGAAAGATAAAACTAAAATTATTCTTATTTGTAAATGACATGACCCTATATTTAAAATATTTACAACACCATCAGAAAACTCAAATTAGATAAATGCTTTTGGCAAAGTTACTGGTTACAAAGCAAACAC